CCTCTGGTAGTGTCCATGCTTCTTGCACCATTTGCACTGATCCTTCTCAACTTGAGCATTTTTGTTCTTCGAATGGTGGTCTTTCTGAGGGGCTTTCCCTTGAGGTTTGACATTCTTATTGAAGTTCTTTTTCTTGTCCTTCACAAGGTCAGCAGAGTCACCATGTAAGGATTTCAGCCTCTCCTCTTCTTGAACACACATTGCGATGAGCTTCTCTATGTCCCACTTATTGGGCTGCATGTTGTAGTTAACAACAAAGGTTTCATATTCCTTTGGCAAGGAAGCAAAAACCAAATGAATCAGGAACTCATCCTTGAGCCCCAAATCCAATGGCTTCAACTTCAGCTTCAACTCCATTTGCTACTTTAATTCTTCTTTCTCCATTTACTACTTTAATTTGCAACATGAACAGTTGCACCTAAATCAATCCACCAAGTAGATTTTGCATAACTTAAATATAGGGATTTATCAATGAATGAATCATAACCATCCACACTCTTCATAGGAAAAGGACCACAGAAGTCTGTGTGAACTATTTCTAAAATTCCTGCACTTCATTTGGTATCTTTCTTTATTTTCTTAACATACTTTCCTTTTATGCAATCTATGCATTGTTCTACATCTAAAAATTCTAAGGGCGAAAGAATTGATTTCTTAATCAACCGCTCTATTCTCTCCATCGAAATATGGTCTAAACGACAGTGCCATAATTTCAAAGATACATCATGCACTATCTTCCGCTTATTTGTTGCATTCATAGACGAGGAAGCATTCTCATTCTCAGTACTTACATCATTCACATTCTCAAAAAGTGATAATAAATAAAGCTTGTCTTGTTGGAAGGCAAGAGTTTGAAATGTCCCATTTCTTGCGTTCGAGATCATACTTCATCCGCACTTCTGCATGATCTCGCTGCCGAGCAGTGAAATCAGCATCAGACTCATTTTCTTCCCTCACCGGGTCTACTGGCTCAGTAGGGCACGGGGAGGTAAGCGCTAGGTTATTTTCAGACAGCGTAAGTGCTAGCTCATACTTCTCTCGCCATACTCTGTAATTGCCCCTTCAAGAGGTGGTATGTGCGAGATGAATGCCATTGGGTTGAGTCCTGAAAAACACTATCAGAGATAGTGAGAAAATATGACATTATAATTGCATGCTTTAATTTAACGTTGGTCAAAATGAAAACATATAACATTCTTATACACTAATTCTACATCATCGTTGGGCAGAAATAGAATTAATGCATGGAAAACTTATGAATAAATATTATAATATTGTTATTATCAACGTTGGTCAGAAAAATAACAATATTATAATTTATTGATGACTACTCTTCAAATTAAATTCTTCCGTTGGTTCGAATTTAATTAGAAAATGATAAACTTCAACATTGCAGCGGAAAACATGGAAAAATCATTATTTATTTTTCAGAAGCATTGAACTTTTCTCATATCTACTTTCTAGAAAAAAGTAACACGTTGGTACAATTTTTCCAGAAATTTTAAACCTTTGAAATTCATCAAAATTCATTCAAATCTGCTTCTGAAAATAAATAAACTTCAAAACGTTATTTGTTGTTCATTTTGGCCTGGCCTGCAGCAGCAGTAAATGACCCAGCAGCAATAGTGCGCGGCTCAGCCTGCAGCAGCAGCTCGCGCACACACGCTCACGACGCCTCCACCGCGCCCAGACCGCAACCTGGGCCTGGGCCGGGAAAGTGCCTCCCCTGGGCCTGAGCCGTCCATCCAGATCCAACGGCCAGGTGTCGACTTCGGGAGATCAAAACCCCCAGCCAGCCTACACCCCCCGAACCCTAATTCATTCTTTCCCTCTCTATTTCCTCTCTCAGCGCAGCAGCAACGAGCGACTGAGCGAAAGCGAGAGCAAAGAGAGGTGATGGCGCCGTCGCTGGCCCCCTCGCCGATGCGCGTGCTCCCTAGCCGGTGAGCGCACTGCTGTCTGAGTGGTCTGGGCGACGGTGCCCTGATCCCCACACGCGCTGCGGTGAGAAGCTCCTGAAACCCTATATCTGACCGGCGCCACCATAGGTCCCCTTGCCATAGCACGCGCTCCCTAGTGGGTGAGCGCGCCACCATCGAGCGATCCTGTGATGGTGCCCTAAACTAGGCTCACGTGCAAGGCGGTGAACACGAGTCGGCTTCTCCCCGCGCACCGACGAGGCGATGGCGGAGGTCCTTCCTGCGCGACGGTAGGAGTCAACCCACACGACGGCGGTGGTGACGCACGGCAGAAGAGTCCGGTAGGTCCTCTCCTTCATCCTATCCATTTCTAGGGTTAGGGTTAGGGTTAGCTATTGTTCTTCTTCCCCAAGGTGTCTACGTGGGTTAGGGTTAGGGTTTGAGATCCTTTTAAAAACCGACATCCTTTCTTACTTCTTTTCTTTACTCGATTTGAGTTTAGGGTTCGATGAACCCTCTATTTAGATCCAAAAATGAATCTATCACCTCCTTCTAAATGCTGCTATTCGGTTTTCTACTCTGATAGGCTAGATCTACATCTAGTTAGGTGACTGATACCATTGATATAAGTAGAACAGGATCACTAGACATAGATCTAGAATGTGTACTTGTATTTGGAGTAAACAGCGAGTCCTAGAACATCTACCAGTATGGGATTAACAGATAGAGTGAGAGGGACAGGGGTGAAAGAAGAGCAAACCATCGGCCGCCTTCGAGGAAGACGGGTTGGCCATCGCGAAGCTTGGTGAAGACTCGATGGAGGCGCTGTGTCGAAGGGTGGTGATGCAGTGGTGGCATTGGCCGATGGCGGTGCTTCCCGTCACTGGCTGCGCACCCTCTCTTAGATCAGATTAGGGTTGTGTCGGTGGGGCGACTGTAGCTCGTTCAACCTCGTGATCTGAGCCGTTGGCCCCCACCTTTCTTTTATAGCGTAGTGTGATGGGGGCCCACCAACCATGTAGGGTTGGGCGCCCCTGATCAGGGCATGGATCCTAGGGCCCAATTGGCCGTTGGGCCAATTTGATAGAGATCATCTAACAACCAATGAAAAGCGACAGCAGCACAGATATGATCTTTCAAACCATCAACAAATCGCATAGTATAGAACATGGGATCAGTAGTGTGATTGTAGGCACCTAACTGATCAACAATAGCAGAGAATTGCTCTATGTATTCAGCCACAGTGCCTGACTGACGAATCTGAAATAGCTGGCGCAGCAAAAGCTCATGGTGCTCCTGACCAAAGCGATCCAGCACTAAGCTCGAAAAGGTTTTCCATGAGCAATCCTGGATTTGGGATTCTATTGAATTATACCATCTCTTAGCAGCAGCAACTAAATGCATACGAGCAACTCTAACCCAAGTTTGTGGATCAACCTCATACAAATCAAAGTAATCTAAGCAGTCCCGCAGCCAAACCTTAGGCTGGTCTCCATCGAACATAGGAAAGTTAACCTTAGGCAGCTTAGCATTGTGAGGTTAATGACTATCAAATCCAGACAGAACATCATGATTGGAACGCAAGGCATCAGACTGATGAACTAATTTAGGAGTAGGGGGTTTGGGAAGTGGATGCTCACCCTTGACCGGGGAATGAATCAGGGTGGAAACCACCCCAAATCCACTCTCTCGGTACTGCGGTTTGACGTGGGGCCCAACCATGGGCTTAGGAAGGTGAAGCACAGGAGGTGGGCACTCGAGCCCCGCCGGTGATGGCCCGAAAATGCCGCTCAAGTGGCCCGGGTTATCAATGACTTCACGCGCCTAATTGTGCGACATCTTCTTAACCTCCATGAGGATGTCATCCACGGTTCCTTTGATTGAGGGCTTCCACTCATCGAACGCCTTGGTGGCATTCTCCAGAGCAGCGATGCGGTCATCGTGTGCCTGCTCCAGATCCTAGATCTGGCGATTCAAGCGGGTTTCCTACTCTAAAAAGCGGTGATCCCACTTGAGATCATTCTCGGTGAAGCGCCAATTGAACTCGTTGATGATGAGCTTGGTTTCTGGGTTCATGATGCCTAATCGGTGCTAGCGGCGAGTGAAGTGTTCATGGGGAAGGGGTTGATTAGAATCCAGACTGTCGGCACACCATAAATCGTTTGAGTGTGGATTGGAATTACAGCTGATCTCGATCTCCAGCAGCAGCTCACTACCAGAAACAAGATCAAGCCAACCAGATCCGTTATGTCAAACAACCGATGGAATCAGTGTGGAAGAGTAGGAATCCGAGGAATGGTGTCTTCTATACCAATTGTTAGTAGCATCAGAGTTTGGGTAAGGAAGCAATTGGGAAGGGATTTGAGAAATTGGGGGATAGGAGAGAAGAACAACATGTTGAGGGATTAGGGATGGATCGACCAAGAGTGCTTAGGAGGATAGAGTTGGGTTCATGCAAGTTTTCTGATGGCCTCTCTTCTCTCTGCTCTCATCCTGATGTACTCTCGTTACAAGCCGTAGCCTGGACTTGCGCACACAGGCGCTCACGCCCACTCCTCGCCCGTTAACATCTTGTTGGGCCTACAGCTTCGGGAGCTCCTTTGTGGGCCGTGGGCCGTAGCACCAATGGACTGGAGGTAGTGGCAGTGCTAACAGTCCCCGGCGCTTGAGAGCCTGCTTGATCCCAAGCAGGAGCGCGTGGAAACTCCTGACGGACGGTCTCCAGTGACTCCCAAGTGGCCAGTTCAGATGGCCAATCAGACCACTGCATCACCGATGCCATCCACCACCATGGTGGTGCCGCCACCCTCTCCCAAATACTCAGAGAGATTGGTGTCCGCCCATGTAAGCTTCCCGGCCTCCGTCGCCTAATGCATGTTCTCACTATCTCAAGAACCTTCACCATCGTCCAGCCATTAGCGGAAACCATGTCATCAGAGTTAGACGGGCGTCAGCCTCTCTATAAGCTGACAACAGTGTCCTGCCTCCTCGTCAGTGGCAATGGTGGCGGTGAGAGCTCAGCGATAGCATGCTTGTCTCCTATGGCACGTACTTAGCCCCTTCCGTGACTCACCACTCAGCATGGGGCTCATTGTGTGGTTCCGACATGATGAAGATGAACAGGCGCCTAGCCCATGCCCATTCACCCTTATGTATGGCACAACCTTGTGGGAGGTGTTTAGATGCGACGATGCAATCAACGCATTATTCAACAACGCCATGGCCGCAGACAGCCACTTCTTGATGCAGATTGACTTGAAGGAGTTCGGCGAGGTCTTCCATGGGATATACTCACTGGTCGACATCACCAACGGGGTTGGGGGAGCCACCATGGCCATTGTGGCGGAGTTTCCATGTTTTAAGTGTACCATACTGGACCTCCCTCATGTTATCGCCAAGGGTCCTTCCAGTTCTATTGGCAACGTGTAGTTTGTTGGGGGTGACATGTTTGAGAGCATTCCACCAGCTAATGTTGTCTTCCTCAAGGTATGTCATCATGTAGTTATATATGTTTCTTTTCTACTATCTTGTATGCCTATACTGCTAAAATTCAATTTGTGAGTTCAAATACTCATTCAACAAACTGCTTATTGAATTGGTTTTGAGTTTTGGCCGGCCCTGATAACAATTAATATAACATATAAGTTTAAGTATTGCTAGAGTTAATGTGTCATAAATCTTTCAAAACCTAGAGACGGCTGAGACTTGAGAGTGGAAGTTGCCAATAAGGATGGTTGGATTTCAGATCAAATGATTCATAGGATAAATGAAATGGAGCTTCTAAATCGTGTTAGAACTAGTAGGCACACACTTAGCTTCTAAAGAGTTAAATGCACCAAAGGTGCATAAATTTGTATGGGTGTTTCAATTAGGTCCATCAACTTCAAAAGTGGATTTTTAGGTCCATAAACTTTTAAAATCATTCACCATAGGTTCATACCCCTCCACATATGCATCATATGCTGACGTCTCATGCCACACGTGCGTCTTCCCTCTCATGTCCCTCTTCTTTTCCCTCTCCCACTCAGTCTCTCGGACACATTTCATCCAACCAGTCCTGGGCGACGTTGAGCTCACGCACACCTCGATCCTCATGCCCATTTCCACCAGCCACTTCAACTGCTTGTCTGCATGTCATCGACACCTGGGTGTAGGCTCATGAGTAAATGCAGCAACAGCAGTGTCGTGATGGCATTGACGCGCAACACCCAAGTGAGTGCGAGTTCCTCTAAAAAGTGAAAATGTGCCAAGGTCATCCTTGCCAGTAGTTGGCATGTAGGACAACGTTGGCCGCACCATGGCCACCGAGCTTGATCTAGACACAGCCTACACCCCCTGCGAGGTGGTGAACTACGCCATGAACAAAGCTCGAGATGATGGAGCGAGCAATGTTGGAGACTTAGAGTGCACAGCGGAGGTGATCTCAGCATTCAATAATAGCTATCAACTGAACAATGAGGTGTTCCTGGCTCAGCCAGAGCTCCAGTTCACTGGCTTCTCCTCCAGCAACAATGCACGCGTCCCACGCATGCAGTACATACCGACCAAGGCCAATGAAAATGTGAAGATATTTTGTGGAACACGTAATTAACTTCATTAGTCCAAATCTGCTATGAAGTAGTATATGAGTTATAACATATGACACACGTGTAGTGGCCTCCTTGAAGCATGCCATGCATTGGTGCATGTCATTGTACCCAGACGCTGACTCCATTCTCTACATGAGCGCATCCTATATAGGTATATCCAAAGCCACGGTCCTCGGCGTGCATGCATAGTGTGGGGGATATACCCCGGGTACCACAAGATGGTACATCAGCCGCACCATCCGAGGTGGCCCGGCCCATAAGATCAAGGTGTGCACATCAAGATTACAAGTTGTACTAGATATTGTAATAGTACCAAATTGGATACTTTACTTGTAACCTTGTCTCTTCGGAGTATATAAGGAGAGACAAGGGTCCCCTAGAGGACAGGCTAATCTGTATACATCTCAATACAATACACCAAAGACACAGGACGTAGGGTATTACGTCGACCAGACGGCCTGAACCTGTCTAAATCGCTGTCTCTGCGCCTTGTGTCACCATCTGGTTCCTGATTACGCGCATCCTACCAATAATCTATCACCATGGGCATCCCCCTCGGTGGACTGCCGACCATATTTCGTCGACAGTGGCGCGCCAGGTAGGGGGTGTGCACGCTGATCCATGGTAAACCAGATGGCGTACCTTAAGATCAATAGCATCTTCTCGGCGACGGTCCGTGCGTCCAGCTAGTACGGCTGCCACTGGCAAGGTGCTCCTACACAAGTGTCTAGTCGCCAAGATCCAATCAAGACGCATGGCCTACAGCCGCATGCATGCAACCTCGTCATCGGCGTCTTCTCTGACTTCGCCGACCTACTGAGGACTCGGTGACGTGACTACATGGCATTTGTACTCCAGGCCGCATCCGTACCGGGAGTCCCACTCCGGGAAGCTTCGCATCGGGTCCTACCGCCACGAACTTTGCTATAAGATCCAATCAATATCAAGCAGGCAAAGGTCCGTGTATCTACAAGACCATGCAAGCCGATGATGAATAAACGAACAATGGAGACATGCATGGACGCATGCATATACGCGCATACACCTCTCCCACGTGCAAGAGCAGATTCATGTGCCAGCAAAGACAGACACATGTTCACCAAATATTCCATCACCTAGAGGCCAATCTGCATGCACGTCTGCGGCTCAAGCCCACCAATATGGCAAGCTAAGTCATGTTTCCTATTTCAATTAACTATTCTATCGAATATACAATGGATCTCTGCATGTACATGATTATTTCTGGTAGGAGCCTAATTGCGCACTCCGTACGCCACGAACCGATGATTCTAGAATCATCCATCCAGTAAACAAAGGAGCGTTCAAGATCTGAAAGGCATGCTGGCTAATTCCGGCTTGCATGCATGGGTTCATGATCTACGTCATCATGCAAGCTAGATATAGCTTCCACAAGCAAGCAACACCAAGGCGTAATGGGTATATACGCGCATGAACAGGCCATCCGAACCATGTCCGACTCCAACTCAGACACGACGGGGGCTTCGGCTTCCGCGTTGATTGCCTCTGCTACGACAAGGAGTCCGACGTCTTCACGACATGACCCAATCCGGCATGCAAGCAATCAGAAGTTGTATGTATTCATACATGAACGCTTGCATGCACGTGCATCTACAACACCATGCATATGAAGACCATGGATCATACAAGCAAGCCATCTTTATCCAAGTCTCCACCAGCGGGCATCGAGGCCATGCGCTTTGCCCCAGGAACACAGTTCTACTTTGATGCTTTTTGACTTTGACATCAATGGGATCGATGCCGACAACTTCAACCCATGCTCTGGACTTCGTCAAGCTACGCCACAACTCCGCACGTTGCGAGCTCTGACCTTTGCATGGCCAACGCGTTCTAACTACGCCCTGTTTGCCTACGACCACGAACCATGTCTCGAGCGGCTCCACCGAGCTCCGACCACGTCGACCACATCCCGAGCGGCTCCGCCGAGCTCCGACCACATCGACCAGGGACCACGTCGACCACGTCTCGAGCGGCTCCACCGACCTCCGACCACCAGACCACGTCGACCACGTCCCGAGTGGCTCCACCGAGCTCTGACCACGTCGACCACCAGACCACGTCGCAATGATGATCGCCGTGAAGAACGGCGCTACGACAACCACGACCATCATCGTGACGACAAGTCGGAAAGCTCAAGGACCGGACAACTTCATCGCCACCGACCAGATTTCTATCCAAAGATAAGTACACTTCTAATATTTATATTTAACACAATTTTTATTACGATGTTTCTCCACAGCGTCCTCGTCATGATTATTCTTCAAATAATGTTTGTCCATGTATACCATCTTAAAGATAATATACAGCTATACTTAATGCAAATCCTTGACCAATCATGTTGACGCTCGATGTCTCCAGAAAAGGCCCTGTCTCCGGCTCCTCCCTACACGTGCACGAGCGTCTGCCCTCTGCGTTATGGGTGGTCGGCAGTGGCTCCTTAGCGACGCTTTGTTCTTCCTACACGTGCACAGGCTCCGCGCCCCGCGTTATGGTTAACGGGCTAGCTAGGGCTGGAGACTCAGCTACATACTAACTGGTCGGGCAGTTTATATTAAGTATAAACACAAACTTCACTTTAACACTGGTGTTTACAAAGCATCAACTGCTTTATCACATCATGCTCATTTGCAAATGACTGCTGAGCGTCATTTTCTCCATAATTTATTACTTTGTACATCATGTACTACCATTCTACATATTTATATTGTAGTAATTTCGAGCTATGCTCGGGGACTTCATCGCTCGCTTCTTGACCTACGCTCGGGGACTGCCTCTATCACTCTCCGACCACAGCTCGGGGACTTCGTCGCTCGCTTCTCGACCTACGCTCGGGGACTGCCTCGATCACTCTCTGACCACAGATCGGAAACTTCGTCGCTCGCTTCTCGACCTACGCTCAGGGACTGCCTTGATCACTCTCTGACCACAGCTCGAGGACTTCGTCGCTCGCTCCTTGACCTGTGCTCGGGGACTACCTCGATCACTCTCCGACCACAGCTCGGGGAATTTGCGTCTCAACTACATAAGACTGGCGACTCACATACAGTTGGGATATTCTTTCTTGTTTAGACCTTTCTACAAGGCTCATACCTCGCCTTCCAGCAAGCTCGAGGACTACATCGGTATGATGCACCTGCCGGTGCATCTCGTATCGCTTGTACGACGATTGGATTCTCAACTTAACTGGGAATTCTTTTTAGACCCTGGCACCACGTGCCTACGTCACCTACTACCAGGCTCGGGGACTAAGTGGGCACACTTCACCTTGCGGTGAATGTGTTTGTTTTTTGACCCCTACGCCTCTGATGATCAAAGATGCTACGCTTCAAGACGCACTTACATTTCTTTTCAGAAATACAAGTGGGCACACTTCCCAGGATGGAAATCTTTTTCTTTCTTCTTAAGAGCACCATACATTCTTCGGACAACCTACTTCTCCGGCGACAACGGTGGTCGGGATGTTAAGAACTCAAGCCTCACTGTTCGGAGAAGGTTAAAATGGCGTGTCGCATCAGAATACATGGCGCTCGGGGACTAGCTGTGGGGGATATACCCCGGGTACCACAAGATGGTACATGGGCCGCACCATCCGAGGTGGCCCGGCCCAAAAGATCAAGGCGTGCACATCAAGATTACAAGTTGTACTAGATATTGTAATGGTACCAAATTGGATACTTTACTTGTAACCTTGTCTCTTCAGAGTATATAAGGAGAGACAAGGGTCCCCTAGAGGACAGGTTAATCTGTATACATCTCAATACAATACACCAAAGACATAGGACGTAGGGTATTACGTCGACC